TTTTATGCACAAGGCTATCTCAACATCTTTTTCTTAGATTATAGCTTTAGAATGTTTTTAATTGAAAAATATGGGTAATTTTGAAGTCAGAAAAACAAAGTACCCATTACTAAGAGAACTAATTATTGCCTTCTTTTTCTCAGAAGATGTGTTACTTTAATAGATACACACAGTATGGGTCTCCATCCACAGTGCAAGACAAGTGGGAATTTCCATAGCTCTAAGGTTTAAGAACAGCTGAGCTGCAAACACACTGGGAAGAGTCTGAAAGCTCCCGCTGGGGGTTCTAACGGGCAGAGTTTTCAAAGATCTGTGTTTCTTCCCCCAGTACAGGTACAGCACATAATTACAACAATGTACCAAATTCAGTTCTGTGGGAGGCAGATTGAAGGACAAGTCAGTAGGAAGCTATGCAGCCAATCTACCCCCCTAAAGAAAAGGATTATTGATCCTAGATGGTGTGGGAAGTAACATATCCCTCTTCCCAGGAAACCTGCCTCTAGATTCAGGAAAGGTTCCTAGATTTTTTTGTTTCTTTTTTCTTCTCTCTCTCTCTCTCTCTTTTTTCTGGTTTCTTTTTATGACATGTGAAAATAAGCAAATCCAATGATATGGTTGATAAAAAAGAAAGAGGGAAAGTTTACAGAAATCTTAGCAGCCCAGTCACTGTCTCAGGTAAGTTTATCTTTTTTCAAAAATTCAAAGCCTGATTCTTCCCTAGTCTTGCCAGTGTAAAACTGTTTTTCTTTTGTTGATGAGATTTTAGTGAATATTGCAAGAGTAATCGCAATTCTGGCATATGTACATCTCTAACTGATGAGATTTTGTTTTTATCATCCAGGAAGTTATACAATAATGAAAATTCTAAAGGACATTGGCAGGGTGATAGGAGTAAAATTAGGAAACAGTATTTACCACTAGAGAAGGCAAAGAAAGAAAAGGACTCAATAAGGAATCTAAATTCTTCAATGTTCAAGTACCAAATGAATACAGAATTAGGAATAAAAAGAGCCCACTTAATTTTGCATTCAAGCTAATACATTCAACAAACATTGGTAAGTATATCATGTGAATTAAATCAATATAATACAGACATTTAAAGAAGTTGTAATCTAGAAGGGATCATTCAATAAAAAACCTTGCGATTAAACATTTAATTAAAAACCATGATAATTTTGAGAAAGGAAAAGAAAAAAAAGGTGCTCTGAGAGAATTTAATAGGGAGGCCTAGTAAATAAGTGAGAGCATAATGGGGAGAAAAATTTAAGCAGAGACTCAAAGAATAAGCAGGAGAGAAACAGGCAGGAGTGGGAGTAAGTGGGAGCAGTGTGTGTAATGATCCAAAGACAGGAAAGAGCATGGTAAATTCAAAAAACAATGCACTGATGCTTTAAGCAGATAAATAATGATGCAACACAAATGTACTTTAGAAATGTCACATCAAGGGCTGTGCCGAGACTGATCAGGAAAAAGGTCAAAAGCATAAGTGGAGAAAACAGACTAAAAGTATATTATAATGGTTAAGGGAAAGATGATGCTGGCTTGGGTTACAGTAGTAACAGCACAGAATAGAAGTCAGTAGATCAACTGCATATTTTAGATGCAATTAAGAGTTAATAAATGATCTCTCCTAGATCAGTTTCAACGCATTATTTAAGGTAGCATTCTGATTGCTGTTTCCTGAATAGTAAGTAACTAGAGGTAAGGAAGTAGAAAACAAAAAGAGACTACTCTTTGAAAAAACTCATGCTAGGTAATGAAGAGAGGGCAGTATTTATCATGGACCTCAGGGCCAGTGAAGGGTTTTTTATTCATCCAGCTATCCATTCATACATTTTGGGGCAATGAATGACTTAAGAAGATTTTTATTTCTGAAGAGAAGGGCAGAGTGGAGACTGAGGAACTGAAGAGGCAACAGACAAACAGAACAAAAGTAGGCAGGGGATAATTAATGCCTTACAGAGAGATAAGTAAATTAGTATGTAGTAGACTACTTCACACACACATGCACATGTAAACGTAAGCACAAACCAGTTCAGTACAGTTGTTAAAATCACAGTCCATGACATTAGACTGCCTGGGACTAAATTCTGTACCTACTGCTATGTAACTGTGAACAAGGTCCAAAACCTCCCTTGAACTCACTATCCTCATTTGTAACATGGAGTCAACAATAATACCAGTCTCATAGGGCTGTGAGGAATTCACGAGATGGTGCGTATAAAAACACCGAGCATGGCACTGGACATAGTAACACCTCAATACATTCTTATTTCTATCATTAACAACAACAACAACAATAGTATTAGTCATAACAAATAAAGTATCCCTTTTTTCTGAGGTTTGACAGAGAAGAGGTTAACACAAGATATGGGTAGAGATAACAACTGTGGGTAGAAGAGATACTGCTCTAGCACCTATTTGCTTTCTCATTTCCCTGGTAAGAGATCAGGTTGTCCGTAGGTTGAAAAGAATGGGAAGGGCAGGGAAAAAAGACTTGAAGAAAGCAGATAAGATATGGTATAGATGCTAAAAACAAAAGACCACTGAATTAAGAACAAGTAAAATAACTGCTGAAATGGCAATGAGAGTCCCGCCGAGGTCAAAGCTAAAATGTCATAAAGACACCAATTCAGTTTGCTAAAGAGAACAGGGAGACATCAAGTCAGAGAGTTAGAGGCACAATGAGAATGTGAAGGAGCTCAGGTTTTATTCTGTAAACTCTGGGAGACACTGAAGGATTTCAAAATGGAAATCACACGATGAATATACATTTTGATGAAGACTAAACTAATAATTTTGATGGCAGAAGAAAGCAAAAGCAAGACAACAAGTTTGGGACCTTTCTCATTTGGGCAGAGGATTCTATAGATGTCCAAAGTTGTCCTAAATGTAGGTTGTCCATATATGTCCAGGATTAAAAAGTATTTGGACATTTCCACAGAGGAGTGAATTTAATTTCAGCATAGACTTGAAGTATATTTGAACATAATTTTTACTTTGAGACCTAAACTATGCTATTTTTAATCTCAGGCTCGTACTTAGTTCTAATAATTATCTTAAAATTCAATAAGCACTTATATACTGGCTATTATATACAAGATATCCATGCTTACATATGTGGTTAAAAGACTAAGTTATATCATTATTTCAAGAAACTTTTCACTAGATATGAGACTATCTAAACTATATTTAGATCAGACAAATCCTGATTGATACTGCCTTAGATAATTTACATAGCATAAACTACTTAGAAATGTCCTTGACTATCTTCCCTATAGACATGTAGCTAAGGATGGGGAGAGTAAATAAGAGGACCGGGTGACTTCATGCTCACAGCCCCAGAATTATTTATGGTTGCATGCATAAACACGAAATCTCTTTCCTTTCCTATTTTGCTTTGAGTTCAGAAGGTATATTGCTCTTTATGTCCCCAAACTTCATTTCCTCAGTGTAGCACCAAGGATATTCCTCTTGAAGGACTTGCTTGGCAAACTAATACATCTTCCAAGATAAACTGCATTCAGGAAAAAAATGGCTTTGGAGAAACTGCAGTGTACCTACTGTAAAACTCATAACCATCATGACACAGCTGAATTCTCAGATGGTATATAACCTTGCTTCAATTATAATATGAATTCCAGTAGCTTAAGTTTTAAGTGTCGACTTTGGTCTAGAAAATTTTATTATTTAATATGTGTTAAAGTATTGCTACTTAATAAACAATATCTGGCCAATTTAGTTAATTTGCTTAATCAAAAAATGAGAGATATAATTTTTTCAGGTATCTATACATGCTCTATTTCACCCTAAATATACATTCCTGATTTGCTTTTCAAGGATTTGACAGAACCCTCCTACATCAGCATATGCAGTGCTATATCTGAGAACTAATAAACTCTAAATGTGGGTAAGCAGTTATTCCATATGTTCAAAAGGAATATTCTCTGTTCTATCTATCACATTTTGACTTTAAACAGGATTTTTAAATTGCAGAGTGCCAATCAGATCAAATCAAATGTATTACTATTAATGAGGTTATAAACTATTCTGGATTAAGCAGAATATTTGACTATTAAGTGCAAAGGTAATTTTTAAAAGTCTTAGTATGCAGATGCAAAATGGTCAGAGAGCCAGGGTAAAACTGAAAGCTGTAATAGAATTGTTTATTCATATGAGACCAAACTTGAATTAAATACTGAGTCAAAAATAGCTTTTCTCTAGGAAATTTAATAAATCATCATACCCACCATCTTTTTGTCAATTATTTGAATAGCAGTTTTGAGGAAAGCTTGAAACATATATATATATATATATATATAACACTATAGTTTTAATACATAATCTACACCTAGTCTTATTTTATACCCTTTAAAATGAAGAGGAGATAAGAAAACATAATTAGAAAAAAAAAATATAATTCATTTCAGTAATTATTTAACCACACTAAAGCATGAAATGTATTTATGAAATTTTATTTCCAGCTGAAACTGTGTATTTAATGGTTTTAATCAATTAATGACACTCTACGGGAAATCTGAAAATTTTTGTCTTTTTTCTGATACAATATATACCATTCGAAAGAGACTCTAGAATATTTCTAATTATCTATAACAGTTTCCATCTTTCTACCCTTAAGAAGCCTAACTTTGTTAAAAAGCCCAATTCTAATAGCAAGATCTAAATAGAAGGAAAAATAGTCAATGTAATAATGTGTTATTTTTATATATTAATGCTAATATCAGCATTGATATAGAGGAAGATCCCCGAGATGTTTTGAGGTATTTCATAATGTAGATCTTAACTTCTTTATTTTTCAGTAATATTATAAGTAACAAGGTTTTGTTTTTTTTTTTCTGACAGCCAATGTTACATAAGTCATACAGTTATATGGTAGAAAAAAATATATAAGCAATTGAAATGTCTCCCCCTTGCCCGACCCATTTCTGTTAAGGGTTACCTCCAAGCTGAGCCTGTGGGCCCTTAGGCTAGATACTTACCACAACTCCAAACTGTTCAGGTTCACAGAGGTCATCATATTCATTCTTCAGCTCTGCTAGTTCATTGAGTACCTTCTGCTCAGGAAGATGTTTTACAAGGTTCTAAAAAGAAATAAAAGCATAACAGTTTAGTATTTCATTATTAGGATTATAAAAGATACATTAACAACTATAAAAGTGATTAACTAGTGTAGTGGGTAAATTTCTGATTGTGCTTCTGTCACAGTACCAGTGTATCTTCCCCTTCTCCCCAAAAACTTAACCAAAAAACAGCTACAATTTAATGTGAATAAATATATAGAAGTGTTTGGTTTCTCTGCACTATAGTATATAAATGTTAAATTAAAAAATCATATGACAATAAATAACATTACAAAATTGACTGACTTTCTAGGTCTTAAACACATACCATAATTTTAAGATTTATTTCCTGTCATGATAATTAGTCAATCTATAAAAAAACAGAAAAATACTATGTAGAATTTACTCATGTGCAGTAATAATAATCATCAACTATACTCTTCAATATTGGCAAAATTTGGAATCATTTTCAGTCTTACAAACCACATCAAGCCTATAAAAATAATCTCCCATTATTTATATCTGTATTTTTTTTTCTATTCTGTTCTTCTATGTGATTTCCAAATTCTAAAACAATTTTCCAAGAAAGAAGCCTAGCTTTGACCCCTACAGTCCACAAATCATTTTCCCAGCTATTTCAACTTCACCACCTCAAAGTTGGCCACATCATAGTCCAACACTGAGTCTGAGGGACAAGTGTGGACTCAATTTAAAACTATCTTTCAGATAAAACTGTTAAAACCATCTTTCCGATATCTCTCAGATAGTTCACTTAAAAACTATCTTTCAGAACAACTTAAATATATATACACACACAAACACACACACACACAAATGCACACATATACACACACACACAATGTGTATGTGTGTTAGTCGCTCAGTTGTGCCTGACTCTTTGCAACCCTATCAGGCTCCTCTGTCCATGGGGTTCCCCAGGCAAGAACACTGGTGTGGACTGCCATTCCTGTCACTGTGAGGATAATGCCTGAGATGCAAAAGGGAATGGCTGATGCCAGGGTGAGCAATGGGGATCCTGTTCTCCAGAATTCAGAGATGTGCATTCTGGTTGGTTTGGTAGATGCTTGCCTTGGCTTTAAAACTCTCTGGTTGCAGCAGGTTTCCCTAATGGCATCTATTAGAAGATTTAAACAGGCAGAAACACCTCTACTGCCTTTTGCAACCAGACAACTAAGGAAATCTTTGTCAGATCTAGGTGACACTCGTGGTAAAGAACCTGCCTGCCAATGCAGGAGACATAAGAGACACAGGTTTGATCCCTGGGTTAGGAAGATCCCCTAGGAGGAGAGCATGGCAACCCACTCCAGTATTCTTCCCTGAAGAATCCTCATGTACAGAGAAGCCTGACGGGCTACAGTCCACGGGGTCACAAAGAGTCAGACGTGACTGAAGCAATGTAGAATGCGTTGTCAGATCACTGGCTGACTGAAGAGATAATGAAACCCAAACTAGAGTGACCACATACAAGGAATACCGTCCTCAGGAAACAAAAATCAGCTGTCTTTAAGGAGTGGCATAATTAGAGTCCCAAAGTTATAATATATTCAAATCTCCAGTTCTCAATAAAAGTATTACAAAGCATGAGAAGAAACAATAAAGCATGCCCTTGCAGGGAAAAAAGAATTTTGACAGAAAGAATTCTGGAAGAAGTTCAGAATTTAAAGTTATAAATCAAAAATATTAGATAAACTGTTTTAAACATGCTCAATGAGCTAAAGGAAACGATGGAGAAATAATGAAAGGAAAATAATATTATGAATAGAATAAGAATAATAAAGACATAGAAATTACAAAATGGAATCCAACAGAAATTCTGAAAGTGAAAAGTACCGATAACTGAAATTTAAAATTTACTCTATAGGAGTACATATGGGCACCGGAGAAGGCAATGGCACCCCACTCCAGTATTCTTGCCTGGAAAATCCCATGGATGATGGAGCCTGGTGGGCTGCTGTCTATGGGGTCACATAGAGTAGGACATGACTGAAGTGACTTAGCAGCAGCAGCAGCAGATATGGGCAGGCAGAGGAAAGGATCAATGAACATGAAGGTAAGGAAACATATTATTAGGTCGAAGGAACAGAAAGATAAAAAAATGAAGAAAAATAAACAAAGCATGAGGGATCTGTGGGACACCAAGCATACCAACATGTATATCACAGGATTACCAAAAGAGAAAGGGAAGAAAAAATATTTGAATAAATAATGATTGAAAACTTTCCAAATCTGATGAAATATGTAAATACACACACCCAAGAAGCTCATTAACTCCAAGCAGGACATCAAGGAACTATGAAACACTTTATAATCAAAGTGTCAAATGTAGAAAATGATAATTTTTAGGGCAGTAATAGAGAAGTGAATTGTCACATTTAAGGAATCCTCAATAGGATTATTATATGATTTCTCCCATTGGAGTCAAAAGGTAGTGGGATAAAATAAGTGCTGAAATAAAAGACTATCAACAAGAATTTTATACCCACAAAAACCATCCTCTAAGAATGAAAAACTAACCTAACCCTCTTTTGTAAATAAAGTTTCATTGAAACGCAAAAAAAAAAAACCAAAAAAGTATGAAAAACTAAGACATTTCGAAATTAACAATAACAACAACAGCAAGAAGAAAAGAGATAATTTATCACTAGCAAGCCTGTTCTGTCCCCAAATACTAAAGGAGGCCCTACAAGCAGAAACTAAAGGGCAGTAAACAAAATTATGTGTCAATTATACTCCATAAAACAAGCAAATAAATAAACAGACATACTGCTATATGCAGTCTACATGCTTTCAATAAAAAGATGCAAAGTGATTGAAAGTAAAACATGGGAAAAAATATGGCATGTATATAGTAGCCAAAAAAAAAAACGTGAGGTATCTCTATTATTGTCAAATTAAAATTGTCACTTTAAATCACAAAAAGGTCACAAGAGACAAGGATATTATATATTATTAAAAGTTTCAACCCATCAAGAAGATATAATTATTATGAACATATTCCTATCCAAAATACATGAAGTAAAAATTGACAGAGTTGAAGAAAGAAATAGACAGATCTAAAATAATACTTGGAATTCAGGGGTGATTTAACATATAAAAATATGATGATCTTTTACTTTTATCTAGTTTGTTTCACTTTTTCTATTTTATATTCAGTGATCCCATTTCACTTAGTTTTTGTTCTCCAACTTGTCCATCTCTCACTTTTTTTTTGATGTTCTTTTTCAAGCCTTTATCAAGTGTAAGTAAAAAAGCTTTTGTATACATATATAAAATATGTATAATATATATATATTTTAGAAAACTTATGATTTTTTGCCTAACTAAAAAAATTATTACATTTTGACTCCACTTTGACTTACTATGAATAGAATGCTAGATTTCTAATTAAAAAATAGATATACAACAAGCAACAAAGGTTTACTGTATAACATAGGGAACTATAGTCAATATTTTGCAATAACCTATGATAGAAACTAATTTCAAAAATAATATATGTGTACTAGGATAACTGAATCAATTTGCTGTGCACCTGAAATATTGTAAGTCAACTAAACTTCAATAAAAAATATATATATTACAAAAAAACAAGCAAGCTGAAACTTTAATTTTTGTGACTTAATTATATTTTGAGTGGGAAAATAATGCAAAGCTCTTTGCACTTTCAATCTTTTGCCACTTTCTCCCCCCATATTGAACTCATTCAACCTAAAAAATACAGAAAAAAAGCATAGGAAGGAATCTGGCTAAGCTAAAATCGCATGGTCTCTAATTTGTTTGCGATGTGAACCCTCAATAATGCAGATTTATATCATCCAGTGAGTAAACATCCTATTTTGTAGAATGTTTAAAAATAGTGTTTATTTCTTTTTGTCCAAAAACAAACAAAAGATCAACCAATGTAATATGCCACATTAATAAAGCGAAAACATCTCACATGATCATTTCTACTAATACATTAAAAGCATTTGATAAAATCCAACACATATTTGTGAGAAAAAAAATGCTCTTTAAACTAGGAATAAAAGCAAACTTTCACAACATGATAAAGACCATATAAAAAGATGTTGTCAAAAAAAAAAAAAGATGTTGTCACAGTTAATATACTCAATAGTAAAAGACTGAAATCATATCTGTTAAGAACAGGAACAAGGCAAGGGTGAATGCTTACAACACATCTATCCATCATAGTACTAACCAGAGCAATTAGACAAGAAAGAGAAATAAAAGGCATTCAAATTAGAAAATTTAAAAAAGTCGTCTCTGTTTACAGATGGCGATTTTATATGAAGAAAACACTAAATAATCCAACAAAAAACTGAAAGAGCTAATAAATGAATTCAGCAAAGTTTCAGGATACTTAATCAGCATGTAAAAATCAGTTGTATTTCTGTGCACTATAATCTGAAAGGAAATTAAGAAAACAATTCCATTTACAATAGCATTTTTTAAAGCACCTATAATGAGATACCATTTCTACAATGCCCACTAGAATGGCTATTGTCCAAAAAGTGGGAAATAAAAACTGCTGGTAAGGATGTATTAAAATAGGAACCCTTGTGCATTGCTGGTTGGAATGTAAAATGGCACCAGCACTGTGGAAAACAGCTTGGTGGTTTCTTAGAAATTAAAAACAGAATTAACTGTATGATCCCACAATTCCATCTTGGGTATGTAACAAAAAGAACTGAAAACAGCATCTCAAACAGTTATGTGTACACAAATGTTCATAGCATTGTTATTCAATAGCGAGGAGGCAGAAACAACCTACTTTTTCATCAACAGATATATTGATAAATGTGGTATATACACACAACAAAATATTATTCACTAGAAAAAGGAAGTTTTGATCCATGCTAAAACACTGATGAATCTTGAGAATTTTACGCTTAGTGAAATAAGATAGACAAAGAAAGACAAATAGTGTATGAACCCACTGACCCAGAATAGATTCTTAGACACAATAGAAAAGAGGTTACAATGGGCTGGGGGCAGAGGGGAAT